AACCGTACGCGTAGGTCGAAATTGGATCGCTCGCAAGGCTGTGGACTCGAGTTGATCAGCTCGCGATCGTCTGGTCTTCGCGTTCGAGACTCAATCGTCGTTTTATCTAATATATTATTGCAGTTGATAGGTTTGAATGCTTTTTTTCGGAGGAGAATACAACACGACGTGCACGGTGTTCGCGAAGTTATATTTCCGCGAGTTGTTGACACGATCGGTCGGACGAAATAGAAATACAGCGCGACGACCGACCCGCGTATACCGCGTTCGAGAACGCGTCGCTTTTGATTACGTTCTCCAAACGTTTACGAAAACGTAGGCGATGGTCGTCCGTTTCCGGTGGGATTTTTTTCAACGGTAAAAACGTAATAATAAATATTTACCGCTTTCCCGTGCCGGTTCGTATAAGCGGTCATCGCGCAGAGACAGTCGCCCGCAAAGCTCAACTTTAACGCGTCTCTCTTATTGGATCGTAATTTTTTTTTTTTTTTTGTTTTTACATTCCATGAAAACAATAGCGAGCGCACACTATTTGTTGTTTCGTTTTAAACGATATTGTTTTTATTTTTATTTCACGTGTTTCGCGTACATGGGTCGGTCGAGTGCACGTTTCGAAAATGCATTTTTCCGACGTCGGTCTTTATGACAAAAAATGATCCGCGGTACGTGATATTAAAACACTAATGACGTATGGCGCGTATCACTTGAATATAATACAAAATTAATTATGACTGAGCGCAACAAACGTTAATAATACAAGTGCACTACGGTTCGGGCGCGAAATAAATTTGTACTTGTCGATGGAGAATTTTGCACAATACGTCGCGTACGGATCATTAATCATACCCGTACAATAGCGGCGGGCCAATAATTTAAAAACGAATGAAAGTTGCAACTTTGGTTTTAACAGATTATTACAAAATCGTCGACGTTCAAACGAACAATCGACGTATTCAAAAACAATATTGTTTTCGTCCACGAAATCAATAAGCCGCATGTTCTATTGCAATTGATTTTCAAACGTATTTTTTTAATATTTTTTTTTTTTTATTATTATTCGACACAGAACGTTATTCGTGCTTTTGAGTTTCAACGTCGCGTGATACGCCTCCGGTAGGCTACGCGTGTGTTGTACACGAACGCGTAAGTGTTCGGCATGTTCGATTGATCGTCATCAACGTTTTGAACGAAAACAATAATATCACTGGGCTCGGGTTAAAAGATGCACTTGGATCATCATTTACGGCACTGGAGCCGTATTTAAGATTTTTCCGATCAAGGGCAACAATATTTTGTTTAACCTGAAGCGTAAAACTAAAAAATAAAAAATAAATAAAAAAACTAAATAAGTTTCACCAAATATTCATTAAACATTTGCTGGCAATTCATTTTCCCCATTTCAGTACATTATTACACGATGTTTGTTAAGTATTTTTATCAAATCTATAACAATAACTGAGATATAATTATATAAATAAAGTTATAGAAAATATTCTTTTAAAAGACTGATGTGGTACCCTTAATTAATTTAGTACCTTTCGGTTTGAATGTCCCCATACAGATCAATATTAAACCAATACCTATATCTGAATAAAATAACATATTAGTTAGATTAATTTAGGTTAACTAACCTAACCAAAAACGAACACGTAAACGATCGAAATCAAAGCGGATGACTTGTATTATTTGCGTATTCGTTTTGCACAATCGCGCACAGTTAACAGCAGAGTAATAAACGTTTCGCGTTAGGACTTTAAGCGAAACAAATTATTTTTCTTATGAATGCATGTGTTTGGAATTTTATTCTGCTTTCAAAACGTATTTCTATCGTTTTACACGTGTTTGGTTAGGTCGGGTCATTCATGACGAGCATTGCCCATTGGCATTCGACGAAGTAGAGGCTTAATACGTAATAATAAATCTTAGTATCGACTATGAAAGTACAGGCACCGAATCATATTTCGGAAAATCGATAGACCCCACGACTGTGCAATAATGTATTTTCATTTGTTACGCCTGGCGTGTTTATGATTTTTTTTTTCTATCGGTCTTAAAAATATTAACGTCGCATACACGTTTAATGTGTGACAAGAAACTAAATATAATATTTATTTTTATGGATCATATGCATTTTAAATCTACTCCACGCCATCGTCGTATTATTACGCCAGTGCATTCGCCTGTTTACCACCTCGTCCCGTTAAAATTTACTGTCAAAGTTTTTTAATCGTATTTGTTTTTTTAATCATTTTTCCTAAAAAATGACAGTTACGATTCATTTCCCACCCCGTTCTAATGAATACCTGAATAACTCGTTACAGCTGTATTTTTTAAAACGCTAACAAAAATACGTAACGTTGAACACGATGCAATATTATGTACGATCAATCAAAATGTGCGTTAAGATGTTCTATAATTAAATTTTAGAATGATTAAGTTTCCGAGAATCGTGAAAACTCGAAAATACAAAGAGAAGAAAACGATTATTGTTTCAACTTTTCAATCACAGGGAAAAATATACGGTCGAAGCAAGATTTTTGATGTAAACTTATATTGATTTTCAGCACGACGAATCAGCATCGTGTTGTATCTTATTAAAGAAATATCATAAGGTTTCCGGTTTCTTAGTTATAATATAATTTGTATCGAATTTCACTCGAAGAAATCGTTCAACGAGTATTATGAAAAAATAAACGTTCATCAACTGCACTTTTCATGATAAATATCATGTCAGAATAAGTCTAAATTAATTGTGATATTATTATTTCTTCGACTGAAATACGGTCAAAAACTCGATTACTAACGCGCTCACGCAACACTGTGTTACTGTTCGTGCGTCACTATTACACGGTGTAAATAAACTAAAATGTCGATAACGCGAATTTCTCGACAAGTGTCTAACTCGATGTGTTGTTGCTGTTTGTTCAAAGTTTTTATGTACCGACTGAAATTATTAAGTTTTGAAATGGTCGAGAGGAGAAAAAAAAAACAAAATCGAAGTGAGCGTTTTATTGCTAAAACTCTCCGTTTGAAAACGTGCCCGGGTAATGTGAAAAACGGAATAAACCATAGACAGGAAGAACAATATATTTTCAAACGATGCACATTCAAGTTCGTCCGCAATATCATTGCCGGTTTCGGTGTCGGTCAGGCATCATGAGAATATGGACAAACGCATCAACGTTTTTCGAATCGTATCCAATTATTTCGTATCGATCCGACGATCTGTCGAACGGCTCATCGCACCGGTGCCGTTCGGAAACATCGACTCGAAGCGTACCACTAGCGATTCGGGGGGTCGGTTTAGTATTATCGAAATTAACTGTATGCACGTACACATTTTCATATTATTTCGGCATATCGATATGCCGTTACAGTTAGGTATCGTTTTCGTAACTCGTGAACTGTTTGCACGGTAAATGTTTGTTTCAAATCAAAATATCAATTCTTCGTCAATACCGCGCAAAACGTAAAAAGGTACAGAACATTATCACGATTATGTTGTATGTTTAGGACTGAAATGTATCGTAACTTGAAAATCTCTATGAAGCATGGAGATTTATCACCGTATTGACAGATTTATTTTATGTATTTATAATTTATTTTTCGAATGTAACCGCAACAGTAATATTAAGGACTTTTTTTTTTTTTTTTAAGATCACAATCTTCAAAAAGCAGAATCGTTAAGAACCGGAAAATTTTTTTTCACTTCAAACAGGTTTTTGCATCGTCGAATAATATATAAAACCACCAACCTTCGAGCCTAATAAATGGTACCTTGGTTCGATAATATTATACATTATAATATTTAATGGAAAATGTGTGCGTAGTTCTAGACGTATTTCACTGCTTAAATTGTTACGGCATTCGACGGTTTAATACTGAAAGTACATCCAAAATCATAATAATAATTATAATACGGTATACGAGTGTAAATGTGTACATGTGGTAGCACCAATACGAAGAACAACGAGTGGTTACACTTGAAGGGTAAAATTAGTCACTTGAACGATGGTAGGTCATTCTTTCTGCAAATCAAAATGAAGTACGGACGTACGAAAAATTATACTGTTTGTGTTGAAGTACACAAGTTCATAAAAATAAAAATACTATCGTTCTGTGAACAAAAACATTTTCCGTTCGAGATCTCGGTTGACATCGTGCTCGCACCACGGCGACCGGTATCTTTGCGCATTCGTAAACCTACTCACCCCCACTTTTGTACGAGAATCTTACAGCATAATTATTATGTTTATCTCGAACCCGATGCTTTGACGAGTTAAGCTTTTGACCTGCATTGCGGTTAGCGGTTTTGTTTATTAAGCGATTTCGGTGCTCTCACCTCGATCTCACCCCTGTTCAATACCCATATTATAATTTCATCCGATAACGGATTATAATATTTGAAGTTACCGTAAAAATCGTCGGCGAACATAATGTTTTACGCTAGTCCAACAGCAGAGACAATACGCTTTCGGTGTTATTCGAACACCGGATGTATTTATTTGTTGTTGTTACATAACGATTCGTCGAACGATCGTTTCACGAAAGTTTTCCGATTAGCAAAAACATATTACGTTAATCGTGTTTTAATGTACACAATAAATGCGTTTTTTGCGAACGGGTTTGAATCGGTTCATCCGGGTGGAGTGGCTTGTTTAAACGAAACGAAATAATTACAAGTCATACCGTTGAACAACAACTGCTGAAAACGATCGAGTTTTAAGTGCTAGAACGCTAACGTAAGGTTCCTAAACGAACTCGAACAATATTGTTGTGTAAAGTTCTTAAGGTTACATTTTTATTTATATCGATTCATTGTTCGTTACAAATCGATTACATTATACCATCCATGGGCTTGTTACGACCGTTTTAAGAGAATTACGTATTATAATAATGTATTATTATTTAAAAGTGTTCACGGCAAATATGTACAGGACACTACGTGTCCCTTAAATATAAGGAACTTAACACTTTGAAAATATGTTTTTACCACTTACTTTTATTCCGAATGTGATTGCAACGCAAATTTGTTGAGTAAATTCATGTACTTGTTTTCGTCTGTTCGAAAAACGGTCTGATCGATATCTGAACGAGGCTGCAATTAGAAAAAACACACACACACACACACACACACAAATGAGACTTGTTTTATAAGTTACAGAATGATCAGTGATCTACTTTAGTAGAGGAATTTCTCGTTAAAAACGTGTTTGTTGCGTTTCGAGATCACGGATTAAGTGAACTGGTATCGTGAACTCATTACAAAAATACATTAGCCGATGTGATTTTGGTACTCGGAACGGAATCAAAACACGACTACAGGACGAGTATTGAACTCGAGGGGTTTCACTCGAATATGGACGGTGATCATTACACGTACAATGTGTACGATCATTCGTTCGGCTTCATTTGCGGCGAGGGACGCGGAAGTGAGTAACTTGGGAAGTATCGAGTTTCCGCGCTACACGGGCACTAACCTCTAAACTTTTCGACGGCCGTTCGTGCGAACTTTTAATAATTACGGTTACGGATAAGGTGATCAATTAAATGTTTATTTGCACGGGGTTGTTCCTTCGGAGGTCGAAAAATGAAACGACCGATACTTACGCACGCGAAACGGCTGGTCCCGGTGTCGGACAATCGAATGCAAACGAACAACCCGGCTACGCAGCACGGCGGCGTGGAGGGTAGTGCGAATATAAAGTTCTAGACATTGCGACACGGATCGCGAGACAAAAACCGCGGAACAATATGCACTCGGACAAAGGGTTCCTTCGCGTTATAGGGACCAGGGAGAAACAAAATAAACCGCGGGACCATGATCAATCACAACGAGTTATGCACGCGACGAGGATTACCGATATTTGAGATCGCTGTTTTGAGATCCGACGTGGAGGACACTCCTTGAGAACAAATTTCCGTTGCGTCATCCTGTTGGACGCGAACGAGTTGATACAGACACACGTGGATTCGAGGGATCTAGTCGTATCCAGAACGTTCTTTTAGTTCGAAAAGCGGGCACACGGCCCTAGTGGCGTGTTCGAGGGGACAGAGGGGCCAGCACCCAGTGCCGTAGTAACCAAACATTACGCCCGGGGTGAAACTTCAAGATGCGCCCTGGTGTATTTTTAATTTAAAAATATTTTACTTCTTAGATCTTATTTTCAATGATTGCTTTAATTAATACGAAATATGTTAAAGATTTGGTGGATGAAATACCTGTACATGAATTGACCGTTGTAATTTTTAACCTTAAATGCAAGATTTTAATTTTTACGCTCTCCCAGGAATTACACCTGGAGCATAGGAATCTCTCGCCACCCCTTTCCTACGGCCCTACCAGCACCTCACTCCGACTTCAATAGCCGTGGGTTGACAGATCAGACCATTTTCAGTTGTGATGTAAACACGATTTGCATGGATAACAAAATTAAAAGTATATATTTTACGAACGAACTCGAAATGGTTCTGGTGTTTTCGATCATGTTTGTATCGATTACGTAATCCCTTGTTTTTCAGTAATTTTGGCATACTTTGTGAGTCGAACACAAATCTGTCAGGTCTACAGGTGTGTGATCTATTTCAACCCTCCGGAGATTAAAATATTATTCGAGAACGACGATTAGGACAAAATCAGATCGAATGCGTATATGAACAATACCATAATTAACATTTTTAGCCATTACATTATTAGCTTCGTACAACTAATAATAATACACTAAAAGATTTAAAGACTGAGTAAAAAGTTATAATTCGTGAAATGGTTATTATGTGCTCTATCTTTGTAACGTTCAGATTTCGTTTATGATTAGTCACAATGTTTTAATGATTAAGGGAGCAAAAATAATTTTTGTTATAAATCATCATGTTTTTTTTTATGACTGATTATAATTTGTATGCCATGATTCATATCATAACTAATTACAATTATATTTCATTAATGCACGAAGGGAAACAAAACAGCAATAGCAGATAAATAAAAATAAACGCTTTTTTTTACCCAGTCCGCAGTACTGGAACAGTCAGTTTTTGGCCGTATAGATAGTAATGAATTCGCTAGTGCAGTTGCACTAGACGTTGCGACGAAAAAGCATGAGGGTCCTTCGGTATATACAAGGTAAAAACCGAATAAACTACGCGTAAACTGTGCATCAACCCATCGGAATTTTCGTGTAGTTGTTCATATTTTTAAGTTGTGTTGTTTATATCATTTTTTTGAGCTAATATATATTATATTTTCTGGTTACACGTACGTGTTGTACTTAGAATGGGAATACAATTCGTGTTGATTATGTATAGATAAATATTGAATGAAAATAGTGTACAGGAAAGATAATCAATATTTTCCATTCTATGAAGAAAAAATCACTAACATCTTCTTCTGGAGGATACTGAGAATTCGAAGTCATAGGTTCGAGAATTGTCTAGTAACATAAAATCAGTAGTGTTTTGAACTGAGTTCAGACAAACTAAGGTCCTTTTTTAGTTCACATGAACAGGAGGCAGGAGAAAATATAATATATATTAGTTCAAAAAAATTGAGGTACCTTGTATTTTTTTATTATTGCACCAAACAATGAAGTTAACTGATGTTATTTTCAAACAAACATTGTCGGTCGGTTAGCATCTTTGTTCTACCACAAATTAATATGTCGTCTTATTTTATGTGGGTATATTTTAAATTATTATGGTTTTATTTCTTTATTTATTTTTTTTTTTCATAATAAAACACACGCAACGAAAAAATCAAGAATAAAGATAAATAATTTAAACAACAATTACATTTTTTTTTTTTTTATTATTATTATTATGCATAGTATATAGCTTTATATCCACGTTCAAAATGCTATCTTATTATTATCAAATTGTATGCAAAATATAAAAAAATTTGTTTAAAAATACAATTTTTCAACCGTAGAGATTATTTGTAAATACATATATTTGTATTCTAAACCGGAAAGATATCAATGCATTCAAAAGTCTAAATTTATTTTATATTCCAATATGTTGTTTTATTTTTTATTTTACAAAAACTACATTCAAGAAATGTTTTTATCTATACAGCTGTATAATTACATATTCAAATGTGTTTTAACTGTACAGTACATATAACGGATAAAAAAAGGTAAAAAAAATGTATGTTAATGAACATAATCAATGCTGTAGCATTTATCAAGTCAAAAAAATTACTTTTTTATGTTATTTATTTTTCAACACTTAATTGCTTGTTTTGTTCAAATAAATGTAATAGCTCACAATGAATGCAGTTATTTTCAAATCAGTTTCGATGTTCGAACGCGAAAGAAAGAACTACTATATTTCTCTAAAATTCGTACTTTTCAATCTAATAAGATATTGTTATGTAACAATAAGCAGTAGTGATTTTGGGTGTAGATTTACAAATAAAAAGAGAAATACTAATGGGGAGAATAAAAACACTACCGAATAATCAACATATTCAATCAAAATGTGAAATGCAAGATAAAAGTTAAATTTTTGATCTCTTCGATTTCAAAATCAGATTCGAATTACAATAGTTTTTATTATTATTATTTTTTTTTTTTTTCGAAGCACAGATTACCTTGTAGCCTGACAATCGTAACGTCAAATAACGTGAGAAAACCGGTCGGTTGGTGGTAAGGGGGCAAATTTTTGTCCGGTAAACACTTGCGCAGCAGAAATCGTCCGATACGTTAGATAAGGCAGCAATGAGATTTTTTTCCCAGCGATTAATAACTGTACGGTTATGAAAAAAAAAAAAAAAAAATACGCTGTATGTATAATAATACATTAACGTTTAAAAATAAAAATAAAAAAACAGAAATAAATGAAAAAGTACGAACCGTACACGTGTAATAAATCACAGTACGATGTGCTGAAATGAACCTTTAATCATTCGTAGTGCTCGAAGTGAGCATTTATCCGTTGCCCAAACAAAACGTCCGTCACTGATGATCGGAAGCACTGCGGGACCAGGTCAAGTTAGGTACGGTGGTTGGTATGGGATTACTGGTCGTACAAATTTCAAAACAATATTCCGTAATGACCGGAACACGAACGTCGTCCGGAGTTAATATTTTCGAGAGAGATTGATTAAAATTGGTTTTTTTTCCTCCACTCACCGTCGTTTCGCGTTACGAGTTCAGCGGCTTTTGCCGGACAGAAATCGCCGTAGCATTCATCACGTCACATATCTGTCGCGCTAATAATGCGCTGCTATTTTGAAATACGAAAAGCGAAAAAAAAAAATGCAAAAAAAAAAAAATAATAAAACAATAACTTTGCGCTTCCGTAAGTCAAGACCACGATAACATTTTAATAAACATCAAATAAATCTTAGCGCTTCGTAACCCCAAAGGTACGGCGAGGGTGAGTCGTCACCTCGTGCGTCGCGGCCTGTCCGTAGCCGAACATAAATATGTACCGTTGAATTACAATCGCCAATAACGGAAGAACAATGTCGATGCGGCCGAATCGGTGTAATGATAACAACAGAACTTTTGCGCGTTTGGGTCGAAAAACGAATGATGATGACGATGAAAAAAAAAAAAAAAAAACGAAAATAAATAATACACACGATCTCTCGGTTGAACGTTTTGAATTTTTTTGCAGCTCCATCGTCCACGACCTGTGCATCATCGAGCCAAGTGCAATAATACGGTCGTATGGTAATGATGTCGGTGGTGACGAAGGCGTGGCAGTTCGTTGTATTGATGTATCGCGGTGAACTGATTTACAGTTCATTTGCATTTCGGTCCGCATTGCTGAGACAATCTTCGGAGACGAGAAGTGTTTCGGTTCACTCGGTCATACGTATAAACACCTACCGAATTATATTGTACATTTGTTTCGAGTAAAACGCGTTTTTGCGGATTGTTCTTAGGACGCCAAATACGTACAGGACCGGCGAAAATGCATGAGCGCCGATTTGTTTCGTAGAACAACGTTTAACTCGACCAATAATTTATATATATATATATTTAGAGTCTTTATTTTAATGGAAGTTATCGTACGATATTTTCACACGTGGTTTATCGAAAAAATAAAAATTTAGGGACGATTGCTGGATTTATAGTGTTAAATTGAATTAAAACA